CCCGGTTAGAGGGTGTACCGCATTCCAAAACTAACAATGTGATTGTTCCAAAGGCTCTTCACTGTCACTACAGATTCTTCTTTTCTCCTGTTATATAATGCCTTCCTTCTGGATGAGTTAGTCATCCATTTTCTGTTGGTCTAGCATGAAATTACAAAATCCCATGCTGCAAATTAGATCCCTGAAGGGATCCCAGGTGCATCAATAAAGCCAATTCTGACTGGCTTCAGAAACTGTCATATGTAAATGCCTCCTAAAGGGGAATGTCCATCAACCCATGAGGGGCAGGAAGGAGATGGTGTGGGAAAAGGGTGTTTTTGTTAATTTTTGCTTTGTAAAGCTTGACATTTCTGATCTCTGTTTCACAGGAGCTGAGTCCTCACTGAGTTTAATGAGGATTTGGGGTACTCAGCAGCTCTGCAAATCAGGCCACTCATTTTTATTGTAACATCCTTCAATAGTGGCCCTTTGAACAGTGCAAAACAGAGGGGGGAAGAGAGAAAAAGAAACAGGAGAGTGGGAAATATTTAGGCCGTGTCCAGACTCAGGGGTTTTTTCGGGAAAAGTAGCCTTTTCCCGAAAAAACTTCCCCTGCGTCCAGACTCAAGCCGCGTTCTTTCGAAATTATTTCGAAAGAACGCGGCTTTTCTTTCGATGGCGGTAAACCTCGTTTCACGAGGAAGAATGCCTTCTTTCGAAAGTTCCTCTTTCGAAAGAAGGCGTTCTTCAATGTAAAGAGGCCGTCTTCGAAAGAGAGCATCCAGACTCGCTGGGTGCTCTCTTTCGAAAAAGCGGATTTCTCTTTCGAAAGATCAGCCTGCAGTCTAGACGCGATCTTTCGAAAGAGGCTCTTTCGAAAGAAGCCTGCAGTCTAGACATAGCCATAGAGACAGTATGCTTCAATGTAAAGAGGCCGTCTTCGAAAGAGAGCATCCAGACTCGCTGGGTGCTCTCTTTCGAAAAAGCGGATTTCTCTTTCGAAAGATCAGCCTGCAGTCTAGACGCGATCTTTCGAAAGAGGCTCTTTCGAAAGAAGCCTGCAGTCTAGACATAGCCATAGAGACAGTAGTGTGGGGCGGGAGGAGAGGGGTGTGGAAATCAACTAGTCAAAAGACTATCCAATACGCAAATGCATATCGGATAGTTGACTAGTCTTTAACATCTCTAGTCCACACTGGCTCTTTGTCGACAGTAAATGGAGGGGGAAAGACAAAAGTCTCTCCCAGGGGTGGAAGTTTTCGTCCTCAAAACTGGTGTTCATCCCCCTCTTCCCACAAAAGTTACATTGTAGTCAACAAAACACAGTTTTTGGCAACAAAATATGCCTGTGTGGACAAGGACTTTGTATCAGTACCTCTCTCAGGGTATGTCTACACTACAGAGTTAGTTCGAACTAACGGACGTTAGTTCGAACTAACTTTCATAGGCGCTACACTAGCGTTCCGCTAGTTCGAACTTAATTCGAACTAGCGGAGCGCTTAGTTCGAACTAGGTAATCCTCATTTTACGAGGATTAAGCCTAGTTCGAACTAGCTAGTTCGAATTAAGGGGTGTGTAGCCCCTTAATTCGAACTAGTGGGAGGCTAGCCCTCCCCAGGTTTCCCTGGTGGCCACTCTGGCCAACACCAGGGAAACTCTATTGCCCCCCTCCCGGCCCCAGACCCCTTAAAGGCGCACGGGCTGGCTACGGTGCCCGTGCCAGGTGCAAGCCTGCCAGCACCCAGCCAGCAGACCCTGCACCTGGCACGGCACAGAGTCACCCACCCGATGTCCCCCAGCCCACCCCCTCTTCCCGGGACCAGGCTGGCGGCTCCC